GAAACATTGAAAAATTCAAAATTTTGAAACCCAAAAGTTGAGCAACTGGAAAAATCGAATAAATTAAAACTGAAAACTCAAAAAATCGGAAATCGAAAAACTGAAGAAACCAAAAAATGAAAAACCAAAAATCGAGAACTTAAAATATCGAAAAATTAAAAAGTTGAAAAAGAAGACTTTTACAATTCTAACAGCAAAAAATTAAAAATTGAAAAATACAAAATTTTAAACCCCAAATTTGAGCAATTAAAAAACTGAAAAATGTAAAAACTTAAAATTTAAATTTCGAAAAACTTTATATCGAAAGATTGAAGGAAGCAAAAATCGAAAAATTGAAATATCGTAAAAGTGAAAAAACAAAAAATTAAAATTTCTACAAACTGAAAAATTGCAAATCGAAAAATTGAGAACTCTAAAAGGCTGAAACCGAAAAAATGACAAATCGAAAAATCAAAAATCGAAAACTTGAAAAATTTAAATTTAAAATTGGAAATGCATAGAATTGCAAATCAGAATACAGATTGAAAAATGGAAAAAATTAAAAAACCGGAAAATGGAAATATCGCCAAATAAAAAATCGAAAAATTGAAAAAAGAAAAAAAGAGAGAATGTGAAAATTGTAAAATTGGAAAAAGTCAGCAAATCCAAACAGTGAAAAATCGAAACATTGAAAAATTCAATATTTTGAAACCCATTGAAAACTCAAAAAACCAGAAATCGAAAAACTGAAGAAACCAAAAAATGAAAAACTAAAAATCGAAAAATTAAAAAGTTGAAAAAGAAGAGTTTTACATTTCTAACAGCAAAAAATTAAAAATTGAAAAATACGAAATTTTAAACCCCAAATTTGAGCAATTAAAAAACTGAAAAATTTAAAAACTTAAAAGTTAAAGCTCGAAAAATTTTATATCGAAAAATTGAAGAAAGCAAAAATCGAGAAATTGAAATATTGCAAAAGTGAAAAGACAAAAAATTAAAATTTCTACAAAGTGAAAAATTGCAAATCGAAAAATTGAGAACTCAAAAAGGTGCAAACCGAAAAAAATTGACAAAAATCGAAAAATCAAAAATCGAAAACTTGAAAAATTTAAATTTAAAATTGAAAATGTATAGAATTGCAAATCAGAACACTGAAGAAACGAAAAGCCGAAAAATCAAAATCCCAGAAGCTGAAAAATCGAAAAATTAAAATATCTAGGAATAAAAACTGAAGAATCGTAAAATTGAAAAATTTGATAATTGGAAAATTTAAAATTTAAAAAACCACAGATTGAAAAATGAAAAAATTTAAAAAAGCGGAAAAGGGAAATATCCCCAAATAAAAAAATCGAAAAATTGAAAAAAGAAAAAAAGAGAGAATGTGAAAATTGAAAAACTGGAAAAAGTCAGCAAATCCAAACAGTGAAAAATCGAAACATTGAAAAATTCAAAATTTTGAAACCCAAAAGTCGAGCAACTAAAAAAATTGAATAAATTAAAATTGAAAACTTAAAAAATCAGAAATCGAAAAACTGAAGAAACCAAAAAATGAAAAACTAAAAATCGAGAAATTAAAATATCGAAAAATCGAAAAATTAAAATATCTAGGAATAAAACGATCGAAAAATTGAAAAATGGGATAATCGGAAAATATAAAATTTAAAAAACCACAGATTAAAAAATGGAAAAATTTAAAAAAGCGGAAAAGGGAAATATCCCCAAATAAAAAAATCGAAAAATTGAAAAAATAAAAAAGAGAGAATGTGAAAATTGGAAAACTGGAAAAAAGTCAGCAAATCCAAACAGTGAAAAATTGAAACATTGAAAAATTAAAAATTTTGAAACCCAAAAGTTGAGCAACTGGAAAAATCGAATAAATTAAAATTGAAAACTCAAAAAATCGGAAATCAAAAAACTGAAGAAACTAACAATTGAAAAACCAAAAATCGAGAAATTAAAATATCGAAAAATTAAAAAAGTGAAAAAGAAGAATTTTACGATTCTAACAGCAAAAAATTAAAACTTGAAAAATACGAAATTTTAATCCCCAAATTTGAGCAATTAAAAAACTGAAAAATTTAAAAAATTAAAATTTAAAGCTCGAAAAATCTCATATGGAATAATTGAAGAAAGCTAAATTCGAGAAATTGAAATATCGTAAAAGTAAAAAAACTGGAAAAAAGTCAGCAAATCCAAACAGTGAAAAATCGAGACATTGAAAAATTCAAAATTTTGAAACCGAAAAGTTGATCAACTGGAAAAATTGTATAAATTAAATTTTAAACCTAAAAATATCAGAAACCGAAAAACTGAAGAAACCAACAAATGAAAAACTAAAAATCGAGAAATTAAAATATCGAAAATTTAAAAAATTGAAAAAGTAGAATTTTACAATTCTAACAGCAAAACATTAAAAATTGAAAAATACGAAATTTTAAACCCCAAATTTGAGAAATTAAAAATTGAAAAATTTCAAAAATTAAAATTTAAAGCTCGAAAAATTTTATGTCGAAAAATTGAAGAAAACAAAAATCGAGAAATTGAAATATCGTAAAAGTGAAAAAACAAAAAATTAAAATTTCTACAAAGTGAAAAATTGCAAATCGAAAAATTGAGAACTCTAAAAGGTGCAAACCGAAAAAAATGACAAAAATCGAAAAACCAAAAATCGAAAACTTGAAAAATTTAAATTTAAAATTGAAAATGCAATAGAATTGCAAATCAGAACACTGAAGAAACGAAAAGCCGAAAAATCAAAATCCCAGAAGCTGAAAAATCGAAAAATTAAAATATCTAGGATAAAACGACGAAAAATTGAAAAATGGGGTAATTGGAAAATTTAAAATTTAAAAAACCACAGATTAAAAAATAGAAAAAATTAAAAAAGCGGAAAATGGAAACACTTTCAAGTAGAAAAATCCTAAATTTGAGAAAATAAAAAAAAACGAGAAACTGAAAAATGGAAAACTGAATTAAAAATTGAAAAATTGATTATTCGAAATTCTATAAAATCGACGATTTGAAAAGTCTTATAATTTAAAAATCCACAAAGTGAAAATAAAAAAATTGGAAATGAAAACTCGTGAAATCTACACACTGAAAAATCATAAAAGGGAAAAATTCAAAATTTTAAAAACTCAAAAAAATTGAAAAACTAAGAAGAAAAATTTGAAATCGAAAAATCGAAAATCGATAAACTGAAATATCTAAAAAAAATGCTGAATCAACTCTTATAATTTATATAAGAAATTGCAATTATTACACATATTGTGCTTCCGTGGCGAGGGAGGTTCTACGTACTTTCAAAACAATTTTTGAATCTGTTAAATCAAAAATCAAAATCCGTAAAATCGAAAAATGGAAAAATAAAAAAAATTAAACCTCGGAATTTCTAGAAATCGAAAAATTAAAAAATTGAAACATCGGAAAAACGATCAAGGAAAAAATAAAAAAGCGGAAAATGGAAACACTTTCAAGTAGAAAAATCCTAAATTTGAGAAAATAAAAAAACGAGAAACTGAAATATGGAAAACTGAATTAAAAATTGAAAAATTGATGATTCGAAATTCTATAAAATTGGAAAGTTGCAAATCAAAAAAATTAAAAAAATTAAAAAAATTATGATGTTTTGAGGATTATGAGAATATATTTTAATCTTCAATTTTTTGAGATGACCTTCAAATCAAATCGACTTGTTGCACGACATTCTTCTAAAGATCTTGAATTTTTTTCTTCAATATCTAGAGAAAATGTTCATCACAATTAAACACAAAACTTCAGATGCAACTTTTCATTTATCTTCTAGTTCTCGATTATTGTGTCAAATTTTCTCAAAATATTAACATTTTTTGAAGATATTAAGTTCCCTTGTTGAGATCACGAGTTAAAAAAAATGTATTTATATCTCCTGAAAATTTTTTATTAAAAAAAGACCAAAAAAAATTTCATTTTTAAAAAGTTTGAGCAAATATACCAAAAGTATGTAGTAGGACGAACACAAATTATATTTAAAAAATAAATAAATAAATAAAGGTATAGAAATCCAAAAATTTAGTGTTTAATTTGAGAAAATGAAATTTAAATTATTCTTTTTATTTTTGTGTAAAAATTAAGGCAAAATGACTCCTTTCTATTAGTTTTGAGGTTATTTTTCAAGAACAAGAATGACAAGGTTTAAAAGTCTTAAAAAAATAAAATCATGAAAAAAACTCTTATTAAACAATCAAAATACGTAACTTCATTGGAAGATGTAGTAATAAGTCCAATAAAAATTAGCGATTTTAAAAAATGAGAAGCGTTGAAATATTATTTTCATTTGTAATTAATACCAACTGTACGAACCGAACAAAAAACGAACGAAATAAAATATCTAAAGTTTTAAGAAAACGCACCAAGATTAATTTCTCCAACATTGCCAGAAATTTTTTAGAGAAACCCACAAATTCGCTTTTCATATTGGCAAAAACACAACATACCTGTTCATAAATCGTGAACATAAAACCGAAACCTTCATTCAGACTCACAGTCTAAAAGTTTCTTAAACAATAATATTTAAAAAAAACACAAACTTTCAGTTAATTGATTACATTCTGTCCAAAGTTCGCAGCCACTCGCTTATTACTCCAAAACATTAATTAACACCGACACTGACAACTCAATTACCAAAATAAAAGAATCCTCAGGAGAGATTTCCGGTGAGCGTTGAAATCATAACGGAACATCTAGCTTAATTCGACAGCATCTGATTTTTATTTGTGTCAAATTATGGTCTTTCACTTTCGTATTTTCGGTTAAAATTTAACGCCGAATTTTGCTATTTCAAAAATTGTTTAAAATGGAGACAAAGGAAGAATAATTGACCCAACACACGAGGTAGCGCTGACTCCAATTTCTCTCAGAAGCCGGTTCCGTGCCCATTTTTGTAAATTCTTGCGTAGAAAATTTCTCAACACCTTAAGTACTATCGAAAAATTTTTGCCAAAATGTCTAGCACTCTAGCACCATCCGACAGTTCCGCTTACCTTCATAATGGCAAAGTCTAGGTCCAGGTCACACACACACACACTCTTGTTTACTGAAGACACCGCAGCCGTTCACCGTAAAGTCAACTCTTCACTCTCACTTCAAGCAATTGCACTGTTGATGACCCACTTCTTTTATAGATATATTAAGATCCCCACTTAGCACCAGCACCCCTAAAATTCGTTCAGAACAACATTTACATTTTTTGTATTTTCGTCCGATTCTTATTTTCTTTCACTCTTCCTTCCGTCCGGACTTTCCCAAAAGTGAGTTGTGCCTTAAGCACTAGGAAGTTTCCGCAGGACACAAGAGTAATTCGCTTAGAAAACACGCAACGTCGAAAATATGTAATAATCGCAAACGTAATCTGGTTTAAATCTCGTTTTAATAGCAGTGCTCCAGACGCTCTTTAAGTAAAAAGTAAAATTTTGTTTGGATGAGCCGTAGAAAGTGCAAAGTGACAACCTGCGGATGCAAAAGCTGTAATTTTCTGGACACGTATTTGTGTTATTTGCATACTTTTAGCAAAGTTGTTATTATAAAGGCAGGACGGACAATAATTTGAACAAGCTCTGTTGCATGCCATTTCCGTATGTGGGGCAACAGTGGACGGTAAAAGTAAGAAATTTGTTCGAAGAATTTTGCGGCATAAAGGGACAGATGAGTTGTTTACGACTTTTTGATGCAAATTTTTAATTCCAGGTTCTACTTTTTAATTAAAAAAAATAAACAATTATTTTATAAGCAAAAGGGCATATGTTTTAAAATATCGAAAAAAGTAACAGAAAGTTATGATTTTAATTATAAAAATAGAAATTATAATTAAAAATGTAATATATAATTATAAAAGATAATTGGGAGATCTGAGAAGAGGTCACATTCTTAAAAAAAAATACATTTAGAGCCCCCTAGAAGGTTTTACATTTTAAAAAAGACAACCTAGGGACCTCGAGAAGGTTTCACATTCTTAAAAAATATACTTGAGCCCCCCGAGAAGGTTTTACATTTCCAAAAAATAAGTTGGTATCTTCGAGAAGGTTCCACATTAATAAAAAAATACATTGGGAGCCCCCGGGAAGGTTTTACATTTTTAAAAAAGACAATTGAGACCTCCGAAAAGGTTTCACATTGTTAGAAAAATACATTTGGGGCCCCTGAGAAGGTTCTACATTATTGAAAAAGACAGTTGGGACTCTCGAGGAGGTTTCACATTATAAAAAAACCATTTATTTGGCGCTCCCGAGAAAATTATACATTGTTAAAAAAATACATTTGGGACCCCCGAGAAGGTTTCACATCCTATATACATATTTTTGCAGATTTTTGAAAGAAAGAACAAAAAATATACGGAACTGCAGTAATAAAATAGAGGGTAATCTTTTTGAAAAACTGAAATAAAAAATCTAAAAATTGTAACGTTTAGAATTATTGTTCATAAACACTCCGCATATTAAAGTTTATATTAATAATATTATTTCTAAAAAAGTCAAAAAAATTGGAATAACGTGGCAGTGTCGTATCGGAATTTTCATAATAAACTATGATCCAAAAAATTCAGAGTTCAAAAAGTCCAAAAGGTCCGAAGAATCCGAAGAATCCAAAGAATCTAAATAATCCACAGAATCCAAAGAATCCAAAGAATCCAGAGTATTAAAAAAATCCAAAATCTCAAAAAATCCAAAAATCCAGGAAATCCAGAAAATATAGAAAATCCAGAAAGTTCAGAAAATCCAGAAAACCTAGAAAATGCAGAAAGTCCAGAAAATCCAGAAAATCCCGAAAAAACAAAAAAAAAACATCGAAAGATCCAGAAAAATTAAAGAATACAAAAAATCCCACGAAATCCACGTAACTGAAAAAGTCAACAATGAAAAAAATCGAAACTGTCAAAAAAAATTAAGGAAATCCAAAAAAATCAAAGAATTTAAAAAACCAAAAAATTAAAAGGTCAAAGAAATCCTATTTTACTCCAAATTGTCCAAAAAGTGCAAAAAATTCAAAATATCCAACACATAAAAAAAAGCCAAATAATACAAAAAATCCAAAATATTAAAAAAACATTTTTTGGCGCGCCAGAGAAGGTTTTACATTATTAAAAAAGACACTTGGGTCCTTCGAGAAAGTTTCATATTCTTAGAAACATACATTTGGGGCCCCCGAGAAGGTTATACATTATTAAAAAAAATACATTTGGGGCCCTCGAGAAGGTTTGACATTATTAAAAAAAACCAGTTGGGACCCCCGAGAAGGTTTCACATTTTAGAACGTGTTTTGTTTAGACAAAACGATTTATTTGGGGCCCCAGAGAAGGTTTTACATTATTCAAAAAGACAGTTGGGACTCCCGAGAAATTTTACATTCTAAAAAAAAACATCTATTTGGCGCCCCCGAGAGGGTTATACATTATTGAAAAAATACATTTGGGGCCCTGGAGAAGGTTTGACAATATTAAAAAAAAAGTTGTGACCCCCGAGAAGGTTTCACATTCTAAACAAAACGATTTATTTGGCGGCCCGAGAAGGTTTTACGTTATTAAAAAAGACAGTTGGGACCCCCAAGACGGTTTTACATTAAAAAAGAAATATATTTGGGGCCCTAGAGAAGGTTTTATATTACTAAAAAAGACAGCTGCGACCTCCGAGATGGTTTGACTTTCATAGAAAAATACATTTGGGGCCCCCGAGAAATTTTTACATTATTGAAAAAGACAGTTGGGATTCCCGAGGAGGTTTCACATTCTAAAAAAAAACATTTTTTTGGCGCTTCCGAGAAGATTATACATTATTAAAAAAGTACATTTGGGACCCCCGAGAAGGTTTGACATTACTAAAAAAAAAAAACTGTTGGAACATCTGAGAAGATTTCACATCCTATATACATATTTTTACAGATTTTTGAAAGAAAGAACAAAAAATAGACGAAACTGCAGTAATAAAATAGAGGGTAATCTATTTGAAAAACTGAAATATCAAAATCTGAATATTGTAACGTTTAAAATTATTGTTCATAAACACTCTGCATATCAAAGTTTATATTACTAATATTATTTCTAAAAAATTCAAGAAAATTGGAATAACGCGGCAATGTCGTATCGGAATTTTCATAATAAATTATGATCCAAAAAGTCCAGAGTTCAAAAAGTCCAAAAAGTCCGAAGAATCCGAAGAAAACGAAGCATCCGAAGAATTCGAAAAATTCGAAGAATTCGAAGAATCCGAAAAGTCCGGAAAATTCGAAAACTGGAAAAAGCCCAAACAATCCAAAGAATCTAAAGAATCTAAAGAATCTAAAGAATCTAAAGAATCTAAAGAATCTAAAGAATCTAAAGAATCTAAAGAATCTAAAGAATCTAAAGAATCTAAAGAATCTAAAGAATCTAAAGAATCTAAAGAATCTAAAGAATCTAAAGAATCTAAAGAATCTAAAGAATCTAAAGAATCTAAAGAATCTAAAGAATCTAAAGAATCTAAAGAATCTAAAGAATCTAAAGAATCTAAAGAATCTAAAGAATCTAAAGAATCTAAAGAATCTAAAGAATCTAAAGAATCTAAAGAATCTAAAGAATCTAAAGAATCTAAAGAATCTAAAGAATCTAAAGAATCTAAAGAATCTAAAGAATCTAAAGAATCTAAAGAATCTAAAGAATCTAAAGAATCTAAAGAATCTAAAGAATCTAAAGAATCTAAAGAATCTAAAGAATCTAAAGAATCTAAAGAATCTAAAGAATCTAAAGAATCTAAAGAATCTAAAGAATCTAAAGAATCTAAAGAATCTAAAGAATCTAAAGAATCTAAAGAATCTAAAGAATCTAAAGAATCTAAAGAATCTAAGGAATCTAAAGAATCTAAGGAATCTAAAGAATCTAAGGAATCTAAGGAATCTAAGGAATCTAAGGAATCTAAGGAATCTAAGGAATCTAAGGAATCTAAGGAATCTAAGGAATCTAAGGAATCTAAGCAATCTAAGGAATCTAAGGAATCTAAGGAATCTAAGGAATCTAAGGAATCTAAGGAATCTAAAGAATCTAAAGAATCTAAAGAATCTAAAGAATCTAAAGAATCTAAAGAATCTAAAGAATCTAAAGAATCTAAAGAATCTAAAGAATCTAAAGAATCTAAAGAATCTAAAGAATCTAAAGAATCTAAAGAATCTAAAGAATCTAAAGAATCTAAAGAATCTAAAGAATCTAAAGAATCTAAAGAATCTAAAGAATCTAAAGAATCTAAAGAATCTAAAGAATCTAAAGAATCTAAAGAATCTAAAGAATCTAAAGAATCTAAAGAATCTAAAGAATCTAAAGAATCCAAAATAAAATATAGAAAATCCAGAAAGTTCAGAAAATCCAGAAAGTTCAGAAAATCCAGAAAATTAAGAAAACCCCCAAAAAAAAAAACAAGAAAAAAAACATGAAAATAAAAAAAAATTAAAAAATACAAAAAAATTCCACGAAATCCACGTAACTCAAAAAGTCAACAATGAAAAAAATCGAAACTGCCAAAAAAAATTGGAACCCCCGAGAAGGTTTCATATTATACAAAAAAAACATTTGTCACCCCAGAAAAGGTTTCACATTCTTAGAAAAATATTCCTCCCGAGAAGGTTTTACATTTCCAAAAAATAAGTTGGTACCCTCGAGAAGGTGTATACTGACCTCAGCAAGGCCTTTGACAAAATTAGTCATAAAATATTAATAAATAAACTTAGCGCTTATGGTGTCTCTGGTCATCTACTTCTATGGTTTACTAGTTACCTTGATAATCGATCCCAGATTGTGAAATTCAAAAATTGCTTCTCGTCTTCACAGATTATTACCTCTGGGGTCCCACAAGGGTCAATTCTCGGGCCTTTGCTCTTTTCAATTTATATAAATGATGTGTCTAATATACTCAAATGTAATTTTAGCCTGTTCGCTGATGACTTAAAAATATTTAAAACTATTAGGGATAGTAACGATATGTTTTTACTGCAAAGCGACTTAGATTCTCTCTCATTGTGGTGTAAGGATAACTTAATGAAATTAAATTATAGCAAATGTCAAGTAATATGTTTTAGTCGTAAAATTCTGGCATCAATTCCGTGTTATGCTATTGACAA